CCTCTGAAGTGCAATTTGTGGAGTTGCACAATCCTCTAAGAAGTTCTCATGGCTATGTGCAGGTGCCTGGATTTCCCTGGATTTGAGTGGCAACAGTTTTTTTTTCTGTTTTAATCTGGATGCAGTTATAGTCGCAGAAAGCTCTTCAACCAACCAGAACCGAACCACCAGCCGCTACCTTCCGGCTGTGCAGTACAACCCCATGGGTGGCGGTCGTTACGACCCCCGGGTTTCTTGATGTAGATGAGTCCAAGGTCCACCATACATGCTCCACAAGTGCAGAGCTTGTAGAAGTCTAACCTTTGAATTGATGCATCTGAAAGCAAAACACCTGCAAACACCTTCCATGGTGGTCGTTTCGTTCTTGATGGAAGCCTCCTGCTTCGGTGGATCAGACCTCTGCGGCTTCCGCCGAGCTCTCCGAAACGGCGGCATCGCGCGCGCCCAGTGCGATGGAAGGAAGGACTGGGAGCGTCCAAAGAGCTGGGAGCGTCAGGGATGTTTTTGTTTTGGTGGATGGTGTTGAGATCAATCCTGCCGGTCCGTCCAATGGGATTCAATCCATTTGATCCATTTGAAAGAAAAGAAAGAAAGGATGGTGTTGAGAGTTCTGTGAACTAGGGAAGATTCAACTGACGTCTACTATACCAAGACATATACTTAGACATACGGAAATGACTTCTACACATGTACCGAACAAAAATATCCTATAGGTCATATATGAATTACATCGGACAGTTTGTTGCATACGCTACAATTACATCGACCACAGTTGTTGCCCACCATGGCTTACCCATCCAGGTCACCCACCAGGTCACCGACGGGGCGGTGTTTTTCTTCTTCACATCGCCCCTTATGGGTTTAGGATGTGTCTCAGTGCAACCGTGGGTCTGCGGACCAGACAACAAACTCCTGACACACATGATGTTTTAAACTCAACTGCTTAAGCTGCTTAATGACTATAGAACTCTTTCAACACATGTTTCTCAAACCACGGACGTTCCAACTGGTGCTTTCGCTTGTGGAACTGTTACATGAAGGCCACTTGACACGAAAAGCCTCGTGGGTTTTGGTCCAGTTTTGGGGCCACTCCTCGGGTCGCCTCAAGGAGTTGGCGATCGGCCACCGAGGCAGTGGGAAGATCTGAGATGTTGGGAGCACGGGGGGAGCTCGTTGCCAAAGCCTTTTGGAGCTGAACACCAAGTCATCATTCGTATCCTGCACAGATCTGCACATGCCCTCCCATCGTTGTATTGTCGGAGAAATGATTCAGATGATTGAGCTTAAATATTCAAGCCCAAGCCTCTCAGAATGATCAGATTATCTTTCGACCTATACTGTATATATATATATCTTTTGGTGCTTCCGCTCCTGTCGCCAGGTCGCTGGTCCCCATCGAATCGGATGAGTCTCAGAGGATTCGTTCGTCCCCCCCATGTCCAATAGATTGAACACGACCACATGAAGGAAGCCCGTGCAAGGTGTTGAATGGTGCCCTTCACGGTCGACTGGGGGAAGGGGGATATTTTTGCCTCCACTGTACACAAAGACCATCGAAACTTGGGTTGTTTTCAGAAACGCGTTTCTTGGGTTTGTTTTTGCATTTTGGCAGGTTCAGAAGGTGTTGCCTGATGCAGCAGATTGACGGAGCAGAAATGAGGAAGCAGACCGACCACATTTGGATTGCCTTGATCAAAAAAACATGCTATCCAATGCGTGCAAAGGAGTTACAAGAGCAAGAAGACTCGACTGGACTTGAGTAAGTATTGAGACCATGTGGGTGTGTAGCTCAATGGGGGGGAGACCGACCCCCCCGGCGTCCCTGGAAGGTTCGGAGATTGGATCAGCCATGATCAGTCTACCCATTGCTTGGTGTCTTCCTATTAAGATACAAACCTATGTACTACATATAGCAAGAACTCTGACTGGTCCATGCCTGCTTCGGCGTGTAAGGAGCGACCCGTAGACCCGTGGGTTGCCGCCCTTCCCTTTGGGGGGCGTTGCGTCAGGAGCGCATTCACCCCTGGGTAATCTTTGCAAAAGGTGTGAACACAAACACACTGGGGACAATCTAATTAATATGCATTATATATATATATACATTATACATGATATGACATGGCGTGTGGCTTGCGGTGATCTGTATGAATTCTTGTCTTCCGCCGCTTCACTCAGCCTTAGCGGGTGCTAAGCGTGCGCCATCGAGTTCTGCGCCATCGAGGTCCGGCTCCGGATATCGAAGCGAGCGACGTGAGTCAGACGGGACGGCTGGAACGGAGCGAAGACCAAGATGAAGACATTTCAATGGCTGCTGGTGTTTGCAGGCGCGGTTTTGGGGGACAGGTTGCTGGTTGAGTTGATGGTCGATGGATGGATGATGATGTTGGCACAAGAAAACTAGAAACTACAGCTGCGAATGCATTAAGTGCCACACATGTTTTTGAAGCTGGGAGATGGGACCCGGGGGCTGGGAGGAACGCATGCGTCCGTTCGTCGTCTACGCATGGGATGGGATTGAGGGCCCAGGGAGTATCCGTCACCAATTTAGTCACTTGGATGGTTTCCCCACCCCAGTGGAGCATCACCCACGTAAGTAAGCTAAGTAAGTATCACATGATAGAAAACTCGCTCCAAACTGGCAGCCAGCACACACTACCTCGCAAGTGGACTGACAAAGAGGATCATCTCCTGGATTGATGGTCAGTCAGAGTTTACCATTTTTTGACCCTTGTCAAGTCAACATGCAAAGCCCTTCATCGCCAAACACCTTCGAGATCGGACACCGAGACCTTCAGGAGTTTGGGCCCGCTGTGTGGGGCAAAGCTGCGTGAAGGAGAAGCGCCGTTTGCCCAGCCCCAGTGGCCTTCAAGGCGGCGATTTGTCAGTCTGGAAAATGCTCCACCAAGCACCTGTGAACCATGGTAGTCACTCCATGTGTGAACCGGTAGTCCCATTGGTGAGCCATTTGGAGACCGGTCTACTTCACGTGGTGCCGTGATGGAGGATTTGTTTTCCTCAAAATGAAGTAGAGAAATAATAAAGAGTCCATTAAATAAACTAAGAAGTCAATACAGTAATTCAAAAGAAATGAATTCTTTACTTCTTTTGTGAGTCAAACATGAACCAGACAAAGTCTGGCTGCCAGATGCCCTGAAATTGGATCCTCGTACATGCCCTGTGTCAAGTTGAGAGTGTCACACGAAGCTTTCGGTCTAACTTGGCCTTCTCCGCCTGAGGCAAAGTTGCACCAGCCAAGCACTACTTGCATGTTCGGTACCATGATTGGGACACAAAGACCTTTGAGCCAATCGAAGCCAACTCCAGTACATTCCGTGCAAAGGCAGGCTTGGATCCAGGCTCCATCATCTATGGTGAGAGCTATGCCACAGGAAGGCGCTGCAACCTGAAGATGATCCAGCTCGTGAAGCCCACGCATTCCTTCGAAGTGCCAGAATCCGGAAGCTTGACGAGGGTGTGGTTGGAACTTCAGCTACACCATGTATGTGAAAGTCAGACTTTCTATGACGATCAACTGCAACTTGCCGGCTGACATCCTTTGACTGTTTTTTGAAATTGATCTTAACAAAGACACATAGACGTCACATAGGTATAAACTATACCTGGAACTTCCACGGGTGTATTTTTTCTGCCGTTTGGCGAAACAACCATTTCAGTCGTTTGCCGTCAAAAGCACCGTTTCAATGCCGTGGGCGTTTCGACCGTTTTTTACGGTTGCCGACTTAGTAGCAAAAAAGGGCATAGCTATGAAGAATACTGTGTACCTTAGAACGCCTTGGATGTTGCTCGCCATGTTCTTCGATGTTGCTCACCACCCAGGTCAGATGATCATGATGCCATCCAGGATCTCAAAGCCAAGGTGAGCGGCTTCTTTGCCAAGCTTCAGAGGCTCGCCGAAACCTCCGATGCTGACCTAAGCCCTACTGAGTTGGAGGACCAAGCCGCAAGGGTCAAGGCCGACATCAAAGATGCGCGAGAGGAAATCGCAGAGCACGAAGATGCCATTGACAAGACACTTATAGACATTTGAGGTCGTGGTGGCGGTTTCTTCTTTTAAATCTGCCCAAAACCCTGATCTTCCAAATCATTTGGGCGGCATGCTTTCTTTTTTGGATACGAACGATGTGACTCTAAGGACCAAGCAGGCTAAGAAGCTAGAAGACAGTTGGCACCGTCCGCGTTTACCAGAGAATGTGGTCATTGTGGCCCCTTTGACCTTCGACGAATCGGATGCACAGCAGGACAGCTTTGATGGTTTGCCAGCTAAGCACCATGGTGGAACCAAGTGGAACCAAAATCCGGATTTGCCACGTTCATGACGCACATCAGAGAGATAGTCAAGCAGCTTTTCCAGATCTAGACGAAGCATTGAGAATCGTCATCGACTTCACATGTAGCACTTTCCTCTAGGATATCAGAATTAGAAGTCTTTCTTTGCCCAAGTGAAGGCACCATCCAGAGATAAGAGCTGCACAACGTGTAGCAAGTGGACTGGTTAAGGGGTAAAACTAGCCCAATTGTATTGTAGGTAAAAGCCCTCATGTAGCATCATGTTGCCTCAGAACACTCGAGGATAGCAGCCTTTCAACATGTCAAGCCGTTCGCCAGAACGGCCGAGTGCACATCATGGAGTCATGTTTATTCAAGCTGAAGTCTTTTCCACCAAATCCTTGGAAGAACACAACAGCTGCTAGCACAGAACTGTGACCTGGGTTGGAATACTACAATGAAAAACGGTACAGTACTGTAAGACAACGTGTAACATCATCTTGCGAGCTCTTTGATCAGGCCACCAAGAAATCATTGCGTGGACCAAGATGTCTAGTCACGCTTCCTTGCTAGTCAGATAGCCTTTAGCTGCTTAGCACAGACGGGGCCCTCTTAGCACATACAGATCCTTCAGCCCAGGAGCTCAACGGCTTTTTGCAAGCGTTGCTCAAGAGTTCAGGACTTGGTGCGATCCAACTGGATACTCATTCCACTCCACTCGACCTAACGAAGACCGCGGTCTGCGGCCGGGGATGTTTGTTGTAGATTCTTACAATTTGATCTGCATAGAACTGTCAGATTGATGTACTAAAAAAACCGGTTGATTTCACCAGTGAGATACCCCTGACCAATGCGGTGACCAAAACGCTCTGTTTCCACAGCCTGTGAAGAGAGCCAACAGCAGCAGCACCAAATTAACTTTATATTCTGCTGATGGCTATCTTGCTTCAGCATCACCAAGAAAGTGTCTATCTGGCATATACTCTGACATTCTTTTTATTAATTCCTTCAATCTTTGTGGCATCTCTTCATCCGCATACTGTCTGGAACTCTGAATCGATCAGTGCTTCAGATCCGGTGTGCCTGCACTCTGCTTTCGGCAGGGAGGCAGGGAGGAGAAAACAGCGGTGATCAAACCCAACCCTCAGAAATTCGAGGGTGGAATGCAGCGCATCCGCTGCAGTTCTTCGCGGTCACCAGCTCGCAGACCCCACGGCACCTCAGACCGTCCGGAGGAGAGACCGCCCGTTGGAGCCGCCCGGGAGCCATCATCGCTCAAGGGGGACCGGCCTCTTGGCCAGAAAGGAAGGGAAACGACGCATGTTGGCTGGCGATGGCAAGAACTAATGACATCGACGAATCATTTAAGGCTGACTGATTCAAAGTTCACGTCCGGATGATGTTGGCTGTTGATTCAGACATGTGCTCATTTAGAGATGCTTGACCGTCCTGGGAGGGCGGAGTTTTTTCATCAATAGCCAGGATCAGTGCATGCCGACAAACATGTCGACGGGCGGACACTATTGTTTTTATGTGAACATTGCCAACCTATATCATTACCTGACAGGGTGCAGTCATAATTACAATCCGAGTTTCTCTTGATTCCATTTCAAGGCCCCATCAACAACCATCAGAAGTGAATGATGACCAGGGGAACTGGTGGCAAACAAACGGGAGGTGCCATGGGCAGAGAACTCAACGAGTGGTCAACATCCGCCCTCGCTGTGATGTTTGGGTAGGGCGAGATCAATATCCACGCCAGATTGCTTTTAAGTTACCATATCCAGTTTAGTGGTGAATCTGTCCAGGTCCCCAATATGTTTCTTTTTTTTTAAAGGAAATCAGACATCCAGGAATCGACGCGAATCAACAGACACCACGCAGCAGCTAACAAATTGGAGCTGACATACATACCTTTGACCCTTCCCTCACGTGTGACAGGTTTTTATCATACTTTAGCAACTGTTTGCCGGTGATTGGGGCATGTTCAGGCAGAGAGTCTGATAGGCCTTTGGCAGCTGAGGCATTGATGTACAATGGCACTTCTTTGGAGGCTTTCACGGAGTTCCAGCGGCATAGTGGTGGTCAAACACGGCATTGGGTCATTTGTGATTGCTTTAGTTGAGCTAACCTACTGTAAATCTATCAACAGACTTTCGGGGTTTGACCACACTGACTGCCAGATTTTGACCCCACCAGTGACCCTACCATAATACGTTGTTTTGTTTTGGCCCTAGACATGGGTTACCTCTTGAGGGATCCTTTTTTGAAGATATACTGCGTGCTTTGTTAGTGCAATCGTTGCCATTAAAGGTTCTGAACTTCCAACACCGTCTTTGTGGTTTTCAAGCTATTTTATACTACACGAACTTCAAGCGAATGTTCATCCAACATCCAATGCTTTTTTGTGCGGCGATGCTTGTGTGGTCTTGACAAGGGACGTGTTGCTCCAGATTACAAGAGGACTCTTTACACAATGATCGTGGTCTTGCACCTTCCCTCAAAGGGCCACTTCGACCATTGGCGCCATAGAGAAGAGCATGGGATACCAATGAAACAATCAATCAAATTGTGGAAGACACCTCCCAGCAAGCAGAGTCAGTGTTCATTGCCTCCCTAGAAGCTGGGAGGCATACATATTATACATATATATATAATATATACATAATACATAATTATGCAAAATATATACACATATTGTGTATAGAGAAGATCTTGCTGTCGGGAAAAGCAATCTCTATTTTACACCTATCAAAGACAGACCGATGTCATCAGAGATCGCATTGAATTTACTGTAAGACTGAGAGCACAACAAGAAGTGAATGACTTGCGTCACTGCAGTAGAGGCGCCGTGTGATTCTACATTGGAGTGGTTCGTCCTCACGGGAATCTCTGCTTTGCCAACAAGTGACTATGACCTCCTGATGAGGCGGGGATCACTTGAATGGCATCTATAGTTTCAATAGGACGTCCCCATCCAAGACGCATAGATGGCTATGTATTGGTTGTTGGGACTCCCGTTGTAGGATTGTAGGACACATCCAAAGGTGTATTGCCAGTTCCTCGCAGAAGGTGGGAAGGTCGATGAGGGGGTCGGTTATATACTTTTCAAATTATTTTCACGGCGAACACGACCTCAACGGAAGGTCCGGAAGGTTTGAGCGCATGCGCATCATGCAACCAATTCACCATTCATCAAGTCCGGCATTGGTGGATTACCAATCTCATTCATCAGCAAATCAGTCTGTCCATACAGCCACCAATGAAGCCCCACTCCATCCATACATTTGTCCACACATCAATCCATTCCCCATACAGTCTCCATCTACAGAGTCATCGCATCAATCAACCATTGGAGGATGTTTTAACTTCTGCTGGTGACAACAAAGCTGGGGAGCAGATTCAAGCTTGAGGCATTGACCACCAGGTAGGGCCACCGATGCCCAGGGTGGAAAGCAGCAGGTTTTGTGCTCTATCAGTTTTTGTCGATGCTGCTTTCTTCCGGAGGTCCAACTGGAATGTCCCCCCCTCGCTGCGGCAAACCGCAGCTTCCTTTGCTGCGAAGGCTTTTGGAGGATTCAACCCTTTTTGCCGGTCGAGACCACACTACGACAAAGAAAGAAGCAGATTTGGCACTGGCAGAAGTGGATGAACGCTATTTGGCAAAGCCAAAGTACCTGGATCCTCAAACAGCCTTGCATGGTGTGGCTGTTGTGGATGTTCTTTTTTCTTCTTGATAGTATGGATGATGCATTTCAGTGGTGAAACCCAAAGTTGTAATTACTTGCCTGGGGGTATCAAGAGCACCGGCAGTTGCAAGGAGTGAGAGGAATATCGATTTTATTTGCAAACATTTGTCACGTCTTTAATTATATAACTCTTTTCTTCCTGTGCTTTTGAACAGTAGCAAGAGTCATGTCGTGTTTGGCATTGCCACGCCTGTGTCGAAGCATGGCCACGACTCTTGGAACAAGAGAACAACATCTGCAAATCGAGGTACACTCCCAAGGAAGAAGGTGTTCGAGCACCCAAGTTCCTGTTCATGATTGGCGGAGTCATCACCTTTGGTGCGCTATGGCATGCCATGAACCCTGATGGTGAGGTCACAGCAATGTTGTTCTACGGTTTCTCAGCCAAAAGTGGTCCAAGGTTCCGGAGAAAACTGGACCATCAGAAACCAATCTGGGCACTTTTGGGGAACGAACCTAATACAGACGAGGAACCATTTTTCTTTGATCACTTTTTCATGACGACAAGGCTCCATTGCGATCTTGGTGCTCCTGGCCACGATCGGGTACGCATTCATACCGGGTGACCTGTTTACATCGGAACCCTTTGGCTTCATGCCGGCCGTTCAGGCACTGAGCTTTGACCATGACCTGTGGAACAACATCTGGGCCTTTTGCGCTTTCCTTGGGGTGATGTTGGCAGTGGTTATTCTTCAAGTATTTCTTTACAATAAATTCCTTTCTGGTTATGGTCCAGGATGCGATGAGAATTGGACTTTTTTCCTCGGCTTCCTGGATGTTTTGCTTGTCTTGTTTCTCCTTTTGGGACCTTTTATGATCCCAGATGTGGGACCAAGCTGGCAAAACGCTTGGACCTTGCTGCAGAGAGCTCACATTTCTGCATGGTTCCTTCTTTTGCTTGCCTCTTGTCTGATTCCATTTCTGGGCGTGCCCATCAGCATTTTGCCGGCCATGGCCACATCTGGAGCTTCCTTGCTCCTGGGCGCAGTGATGCTTTGCTTGTCTTAGCTCCCTGGCCTTGCGGGCCCTTTCGGCTCTTGGTGGATGTCTTTCGTGGCAGCATGGCCTCTCGCCAGTTTTCTCGTGCGAATCACCTGGCGTGGCATCCCGATGCTCATGACCACTCTGGTGACACCGTGGCTGACGTTACCCCTGGGCGCCTTTGTTCACGACAAGGTCAACTGCATTGATGGATTCGATTGGGAGGCCAGTCCGTTGGCGCAGTTCAATAGTTCATTGCATTTGTTCACAGGTTAAAACAAACACCACTACAGTTATTTTATTATAGGCTTATATAGGACCCATTTGCTGGAAGAGGTCACTGATCGGACTGTCTAGCTTTTGTCTCATTGGGAGCTGAATCATCTTTCAGTCTGTCTTCACCAGAAGTAGTTGTGAAAATTGCATTCTCCACTCTTCGCGGCGATTCCGGTGTTCTAGGCGACTGATCGTTTGTGCAACGATGATCACCCGGATCGAGCATACCAGAATATTGCCATGACATCATGACATGACGGATTTTCCTAATGTCAACTTGAAACAAGGATGTGGCCGCAGTGCAACAGGAAATGCTGATGACATTACAGACTGGGTTTTCTTCCTCAAACAGCGTGTATCACTCGAGGGTCTTACTTCGATTTGCGCAACAGGTTCACGCCAAAGTTCGTCATTTTGAAGTGCGCAACCCAACGGCGCAGTGTCGCAGAACCTGTAGGATACCGCTCTGACAGCTACTTCTTGACAGCTTCCGTTGTCGTGGGTGCCAAGCGCAGTCTTCGGACTTGAGGTCCACAGGCGGAATAGAACTCCTCTTGGCTTGAGGGTCCTAAGCTCACTTTTGGTGGCAGGTGCAGGAGATCAGACATGTTTTACTTGCTTGGAAGCACAGTTTTTTAGGCGGCAATATCTTCGTGATGTTCTAACGGCTCAGATGCGCAATGAGACGCGACGCTTCAAATTCGGAGAAGAGTTGCGCGAACATTTTGCTAGGGCTGTAAAGTGCTTCTTTGCCACCGCAGTGGTTTGGATGCGCAGATCCATTTTCTGGGGGGCACTTCCACCACCACCACGGCCTCCATCACCGTCACTCCTCCACAACCTACACCACCACCACCTCCTCCTCCGACATTTATCACTTAACGCCGGAACTCTGTTGTTTTTCTTCCTTGTGGCTGCAAATATACCTTCGAATGCGTAGGTTCCACCCTTCCACCTAAACTCACTGCAGATCATGTAGGTACACTTTGCGTTTGCTTTCGTGATTTGCATGAAGTCAATGTTTTGGTTGCTCTTCTACCAGCACGAACACAGTGCGTTTGCACGAGTGACCACATATGTCTTCTACGTTATGGCGGAGCTTGACATGTACACGGATGCCATGTTTATCGCCATCGCGACTACGTGTGGATCGTGGTACGGCCATGCAGCTCTTCTCACCTACGCTGGTGGAGTTGTAGCTCTTCAGCTGTGCATACCGACCCTTTTCATTGGAGCCAGTCAAGGGCAGAGTGGACAAGTTGGGGCAATGTGGAATTTGCTCTTGTTCCCCGTTGAGTCAGCTCCAAGGACAAGACAAAAAAAGGGCTACGTGCCGCTGGGTGCCTGGGCTGTTGAATGGCTTAACACGCATAAGAGATCATAAGAGGATGCAACATGTACACTAATATACCTGTCCCATCAGAAGTAGAATACTGTACATTTGGCTGCAAGATAGATAGCATCAGAAGATGATGAACCTTTCCAGAGCTAGTTTGATTGAGGCTCAGTAGCAGGATCATGCAGGAATATGCCGGATATGTTGCTTCCCGGATGTTTTTTCCGCCTGGTTCCGAGATCAGCAGTTCGAGATCAACGAGGCAGATGCCAAACGACAAGTGATGGTCTTGGCAGTGCTCCGCTGCCTCGGCGAGGATTTGCCGCAATGTGTTCTGCAGCGCTTTGGACGAAGGAAACGAGGGAGCTTGCTCCCGAACATGGACACGAGCCGATCGATGTTGGCACCCTGGAATCCTCCAAGCACTAAGGTTCAACAATCTGTTGCAAACCAGAGCCGAGCAGTTTTGCTCCGTTCGCGATGCCCGAGTTTTGCTCCGTTCGGTTCGCGTCCGATCGCTCCGTTCGGTTCGCGATGCCAGGAGTCCCGTTCGTAGCGAACATTGCTCCCAGTAGCGATGCCCTTTGCTCCGTTCGTAGCGTGCTAGTGGGACATATTGCTGTTGAACCGACGGCACAAGATTGTAATTAGAGTGATCGGGGTGGCCGCTTGATGTGCGGCGGCACAAACCACTCACACCGAACATCCAACATTGCCAGACTCTTTTCACTAGCATTTGCTTTTGCTAGCATTCATTGAAGTATTCACTTGCATTCAATGCATCCTCTATTTGGAAGTAGCATTCATCATTGACTTAGATAGTGTCATGGTGGTCCCTCGCTCGCCACATCCGTTCGGACGTGCGTCACCGCGGACCGGCGCGTTGGACTTCTGACGTTTGACCGTCAGATTGGGCGACCCCAAAGGTTACATAACTACCCAAACGGCTCAGCTGCGTCATTGGTTAATTGTAAGTCGTGCCAGCCATCTTATTTCAAACTTGACCAGGTCTGTTTTGGAGTCCCTCCTCCTCTTGCATAATCAGGAAGTATCAGGAAACATGTCCAAACAAGACTTATTGGAAAAAGAACATCACAAGAACTAGTAAGAAATGCTGTAAACCAGTTGAGCGTAGAAATGCTGGCCACCCGGAACACCCAGAGCTGGAGCCTGCCTCCAAGTGAGATGACAGAGATCTCCAGGTGACCAATTTCGTGAGAATGGTGCAACTCCTTTGTGATACTTTGGGTATTATTCGTGGCTGTAGATTCTAGCACAAGGTTTCAAGATGTTTTCAGCCATGTGGTTGTTGGAACAGGCGGCTTTCTAGATTCAAAGCATAATATGAGTATTAAAGAGAAAGCCCTGTTTCGTTTAGACCTTCGATTGTTCTCTTGGAATCTGAGGTATCTATTCACCATCAATGTGAAGAAGAACCCTCTCATCATGTTCAGCATCGGCACCAGCGTGTGCTCTTCGGTCTTTGCAGTAGCAAAGGCGTGCTACAGCTACAATAGTCCGGGCTCTCAGAGTTGCGAAAAATCGTCGAGACCCGCAACCCGCTGAGTTGCTCTGGCCAGGAGACATGACCTGGACAAGAAACGTAGAACGAGAAGAGGAATGAACAATAGCTCGGGAAGAACCAAATGAATGAACAATAGCCATCATCCCAACCATCACAAGAAGATGAACAATTCCAAAAGAAAAACGCTCGAGGTATATTTTGTTCCACAGCTCGAGAAAAACAGACACATCCCTGGTGGTATCACTTCGTGCGAGTTTTAAACTTTTGCCTGTTGGTATCGGAGTGATCCCACCAAGCTATTACAGGAGAGTTCATTGGCCCCACCCATTGGTAGGGTCCGATCCATGGCACGATGCGCTTGGCACGAGCTGACTCACGGGGCCCTTGAACATGAGTACGAGTCAGTACTTGCCATTTGTACAATGTCTTTATTGGTGGGGTGTGTGTCCAATGTATTGGCGTACTGCGGAGATTCCAGTTGGTGCCAGTCCAAAGTGTGTGTCTTTCATTTGTTGTGTGCATGTTTTGTTTCAACCATTGGAGCTGGATGCAGCTACTGCCCAACAACTTCATGATTTTGGCCGGGTGTCACATACTTGGAGTCCTCCGACTTATATAACACCGATGTACGTAATTAAATACATTAGTTCATTTGTTTGGCCTTTGCAGGTTTGCTCACATTTCGGAGGAGACGCACACACAATCGTCATCCTCAAGCAGACAGAGTATCGCACAATGAGAAAGCCAACATGAAACGGTGTCAGCGCCAAAACAATCCCACACATGTTAGACAAAATTAGACAGTTGCTCTTCGATGGATAGGACCCAGCTGAGTTTTGTGGGCCCGATGTTTCCTGTCGTACATGCCGCGCGAAGGGATCTTGATTGGAAGCTCCATAGAATTGAGTTCCAAGACAACCAAGCGACCACCATGGAGTTGATTGCCATCATTTGCCTCGGGAAGCGACCGCCCTGTGTTTGCCTTAGGTTGACGAATCGACCTTCTTCAGAACCATGAGCCGGCCTTTTTAGATGGATTTGACGGATAGACCGAAGGAATCCCGGAGCGAACGGATCTGATCAATGACTTTGATGTTGATGATAGATATTCCTAGAGTCGAAGCTCAGAAATCCGCACACTGATGTCAAGTACAGAAACCAGAAGGTGGTAGAATGTGGCCTACCAAGATTCATGGAGAACCAACGAACCAATGATTTGTATCTGGCAAAGTTCACATCGTTCACTTCGCAGTTCACTCCAGGATTGAATTGTTCGCTCAACTTCGATGTTTGTCTTCCACCGTCTTCTGAGATTGTGGACTCAGGATTCTTTGCCTATTTGGTGTGTACCTTCTAGCTTTCACTCCTCCGTATACGTATCTTTTTGGCCTGCCTTGAGACCGAGCTTTCCCAATCAAACGCTTCCTAGCCGCTAGCCTTCCTCCCCAGTTCGTTCCGGGTGCCAAGCTTTAATTTAGTATATATTTGGGCGTGGAGATCCCTGGGTCGTTGGCTAATGGGCCAATGGCGAATGACATTGCACAAAAAGCCTCGGAGACTAAGCCGATGAACTTCGAAATGAGATCATCGTCCATCCAACTATGGCAAGTGTGTGGGAACGTGCAAACATGCTTCAGTGGAGAATTCCAATAGCACAATACATTTGGAACATGTGAAACATGGATATGTTGAAACATGTCATATACTCCAGCTGCATCTATGACTCAAGATGGTTATAATAATGTTATTAATAGTATTGAACACTGAACATCATCGATCATTTGTGATTTCGTACCTTACAACTTCAGGCTTGGACAAACAAACTACCAGGTGGCACTGTGGCCAGGCAACATAAGGAAAAAAGGACAGGTGACCTAGATGACCAAGGACCTAGATGTCAAAAGGACAGGTGCTCCCACACAACCCAAGGGTGACATTCTGAAGGATATGAACACGTGCATCCAGAATCCAAGATGTCTTTTCCAGTCAAACCGTGTCGAAGAGCAGAGCTCCGAATTCAACCACTTTAGACCGAGATTTCGTGTAGAAGAACGTGCCCAATCTTCAATGCCCAAAGACAGGCGACTGAAGTTTTGGAAGACTAAACTGATGAACTGCAGAAATTCGGCGAAAACAGATGAATGCCGCGCTGCGACGGGCCATCAGCCATCGGCACCTTGCCCAGTAGATCAAGGGTACCGGTCAGTACCATTGGTCGGGCGGAGGTTCTAAAGGAATCCAGGTACCAGGCATGTTGGACAGGCCGCACAATGCTTATGGTCGCATAGTATGTATTTTGAAGGCCTACGAGAATTTGAAAGAAGTTTTGATTTTGACGGAACATTGAATCATTGAGTCAGAAGAGGCCACAACACATTCTATGGCAGACAGATGGATCTTTGTTGTCCGACTGCCATGATGGTTCCTCAGAACGAAGTGCTTCCCCCGGGCGTTCGTCCAACACGCGCGCATCGCGGAGCCGGAGCGAGCCATGAAGACATGTTATTGGCTGGTGCTCCTCGCAGGCGTGGTCAGGTTTCTCAGGTTTAACCGTTGGACCCTCCCGCGATGGACATCCACATCGAAAGCCCACTCGAGGTTGGGAGTACAGTGGATTGAGAGTAGATGGCACAATCACCAAGCTTGGTGGTTGATATGGATCCCCATCTGTCTAAGACATCTTGGAGTGCCAGTGCCATCGAACCTCTGAAACCACTGTATGAGTGTGTACCTTAATAGCGAGACCTCCTCTGGGAAGGAGAAACATAGACCCACACCCATTGATTGGGGTCTCCATCTGAAACCACTGTAAAAAGGCTGAACTCCAGGCTCGCATCACGGTGGTCTTGGGATCTTCGGATCTCCAACTCTTCAGTCCTCGGACAGGCGCCGGTGATCGTGGTGATCAACCAGAGATGGTGCCCATGTGATCGCGCCGGGGATCGGATGGCCAAGGTGATGGCGGTCTGAACTAGACTAGAGAGACTAATGAGACCAATGGCTCGGGTTCGCAGATGCACTGATTCAGTAGTAGATCAAAGAATATGTTAGAGCCCATGACATTACCACATGATACCACATGCATGTCTCACCTGCTGCTCCATGTCGAAGAACCGGCCTCCAAAATGAACGGTGTGATGTGATGCCTGGTCGTCAATGCTCAAAGAATGGCTTGGTGACCAAGGTCGGCGTACAGTAGCTACTTGTGCAATTGTGCAAGGGAAAAGAGCATACATCAAGTGGGAACACTGCAGGAAGCTGTGCAGGAGTTCCAGCATGAGGTTGTGATGTTTCTTCTGCTTGGCTAAACGGGAGCTAGAGTGGTTTTCAATTGCAGTTCTGAACTGGAGAGAGTTGTACCAGAAGTTGTGAGAAATTGAACAACACCTTAGGTTATTTTTTGGCAACCAACGATGGAGTCTATTTTGACACAATGACCAATTCAGCTGGTATGATGCAGATCGATTGAAAGGCTGTCTCAAAATATGGGAGCTCTCTCTCTCTCTCTATATATATAACATATATCCAGAGCATTCTATCTACCCCTGCTGACTGCTGGGAAGTTGGTCATTCCCCTTCAGTCCTTTTGATGGGACATGTTCACCAGATCCTTCCCATGGCACCAGATCCATCCACCATTTTTTTTTGCATCAGATGCCACTGGATTCCAGTGGGCTTCGATCGGACCCCTGAACCTTTGCGGCTCATCGGCAGCCCCGTTGACAACGGGAGGAGCCTTCCCGTGGTGGAAGGGAGGCCTCAGAAGGAAGTCCCGAGAAAGAGATTTGGACATGTTTGGACCATGGCCAACATGTGTTGGACATACTTGGAATTGATTGTACCAAGACACATGGACAATTTGAATCAGTGAAATGGATGACATGAGGGGACACAGAACAAAACACACAAAAGGACATGAGTCTACTGTACCAGCAGAGGTGTGGATTTGTTCATCCGTGAAGAGAGGCACACAGGCGCAAATTGAACAGAAACACAAATACCAGGGGTTGCAGCCTTTAGAGCTTAAGTAACCAGTGAGGAATATACAGACCACGACCCTGATAAACCAACCAAAACTTAACTGTCATCGTTGGCAAAGAAGTTTGCAGTGTCTTTTCTTGCTGGATAAGACGGCTCTCTCTCCCTCTCTCTCTTCTCTCTGGTACAAACCCGGTGCCTTGTGAGATGTTCATCTGAAATTCCATTCACAATCCAACGCCATTGGAATCATGGCATCGTCGCATCGTCAGACATAATCCGTTGACCTCAGACCAAGCCGATCGTTTGGGCCCTCGTCCCCACCCCACGACGTCCCGATCCGCCTCGCCCCCACGCCGTGACCGCGCCGCGCCGCGGCACGAAGAGTCGATGACTTCTTCGCATCGCTTCGTTCGATTCTTCGATCGTAGGAGCCTCATGAAGCTCTTGCGCAGCCATGGCAGTACCAGCGAGTTGCTGCTGCTCGGTGAGAAAGATGAAAGGTGTTTGTTTGGCGAAGGTGTTTGGAGGGTGATTTGGGTGAATGAACTTGGCCAGAATCCGTATGTATTCATTCAACTTGTTAGAGCTGGAGAACACGGACAGCTGTTGTATTCTTTACTCGCACGCACACATACCAGAAGAGGTCGCTCCAAAGGATATTATCAATGCACCCGTTGTACTGTTGTACTTGGGCAATTTCACTGAATTGTGGGTCAACACTTGTTATGTGTGATAACCGTCAATTGGCATTGAAAGACCAGTGATTTGTTCTGGTGCCCATCACCCCCCCCCATCGCCATCGACGCCAGCTGGGTCCTTCGAAGACTTCACACCGCCTTCAGGCAACCCCCACGGCTGTTGGGGGACCCAGCCGCGGAGTGTGCTGGTAGGGTGAATGGTTTGTGCAGACCCACATGGTCTTGGGTAGTCTTTCTTTGTGAAGAAAACGACATTTGCTTTGGTCGATCAGATTCACCAAGACTTGAGCCGGTTGAGTGTTCAAAACACACGCCCAGTGTGTATTTTTTGCGGACAACTGTTGTGGCAACCAAGATCCAGGGGATCAAGGATCTCAAAGAAAGAACAACATGTTGTTGGGTCAGGTGAATATATTGTTTTTGGCGAATCCCCCCATTGGAGTTCTTCCGTGCTTCCTGTGTCCATGGTACACTCGTTGAAAAACACATGTTGACGCCGTTCAGGTTATGGAACGTGAGAAATATCCTCAGTCAGTCTCGTCTCTTCCACCCGAGGTTACACAGGAAACAACGCCGGTTTCCAGCCGGTGGGCACCAACTGCTTCATTGGTCTATATATAGTGGTTCCACTTACACCTGCTGTCCTTAAGGCCATCTGAATGGATCTAAATGAGTCACAGCTGGCCCTCAGAGCTGGTTCCAGAAGATCTCAGTTTGGGAGATCCCAAGAGATAGGAAGCATCCAACACGAACTCCGTGGTTGCTAGTTGGTGGTTTTGGGTGGTTTTGGAACCTTTTGCAACCACTGATTGTAGGAGGTAGGATAATTTTATGATTGCTCCGCAATCTCAAATGCCTCGCTAGAGGACACAGGACGGTGGAGATTGGAAGCAGGGTTAAAAAAATGAACAAAACAGACACATAGCAACATTGTGAAAGAACATCTCAACATCCACCATTCGGATCATGCTGAGCTGTGGGTGTTGATGGGAGATTATGCAGCTTCCTGATCCATCGCCCGTCGTTCGCTCGACCTTCCGACCAAGGCAAGTGGGGATACCAAGTGGCTTTCGGCGGAGGACCGCTCCTGGGTGGAGCTCTCCTGGTTTTGAATCAAAAAGACCACTTGATTTCAGCGCAGCATCGTCTCGGGAGGGACTTCTCGCACCTCCACGTGTCAGAGATTCAAGTCTTCTCAGCTCTTGGTCACTTCAGGATTTCTTTCACCTCTGAGGAGGCGTGTGTGAATACCACTATACCAGGAAGGGATGGTGTTCAAGGATTTTCAGACCCATCCAGCGAAAGTACATGACACTCACACTCACTATCCTTCACTGTCAGCACTGCTTTGGACGCATCACTAGAATTCAACCAATTCCCTGGTGTTTCCAGCGATGTTCCTGTCGCTGTCGCCTGAGCGCTGTCACATCTCGAGCGAGTGGCCTAGGCTGGCCGGGAGCCTGCAGCCTACTCAGGAACCCTATATATGGTATTGAAGGTGAAACTGATGTCAACCACTGTGAAATCTGTGGATTCGAGAACATGTTCTACATCACCCCTTTTAGGATCAGCTCACCATTTCCAGCTGTGGTATCCGGGATGTCGACTTTGGTGATACACAATTTTGCTCCGGGATTCCAACGCAGACACATGTCATCATGGACATCAATGCTTGCGCAATTGGAGACCACATCCCGGTACTACATCCAATCATGTACAGCTTCACATGCTTGCGCTATAGAAGCTGTTTTTCCATAGCACGTGTTTGGATTCGGGCACGAGAACACCAAGCAAGCGAGCAACCGGATGCTTCACCTCCCCAGACATCGTTTCGTCTTGTCTTTGATCAGTCCAACAGTCCGTCGATCTCTACGTCTAGATCTGCTTCTACAGCTCTAGACCTTAAACCTCAAAACACTGTTCGCTCTCGGTGCTCGTTGGAGTCGTCCCATCGGTCCGTTCGATCCGTCATCGGTCGCAACGAGCACCGGCGCCAGGAGCCTCTCACAAGACGAGACATGGAGCCGATCGAAGGCGAGACGTGAAGCGAGACGCGTGGCGAATGACCGTGGGCGATGAAGACCGGTTGCAGCGGGCTGAAGCGAAGGGCGCCCTAGCAAGGCTATAGGGGATTTGTCCCAAATGAACTCCGGAACTCCTGCACGATCTTTTTTGTGAACACCCAAAGTCGGAAAGTGCACAAAGTCACATGTCAATGACAAAGGACAAGTTGCTGCAGATTCTCAAGAAACTGCACCTCTACTTACTCTACTTTTGAACAGATCAACTCCTATAATTCGCCTGCGAAAACCAAAAAAAAACCGTCAAACGGCCATTTCAGCTCGACCACATCCAAGTCGTGACAATGTCGGCATGAAAGAAGCCCTTCAATAAGTAGAGCCCGAGATCGAGTCAAAGTACCGAACGTCCACCGCTGATCGGCCACCGCTGACCGCGCCGTGGTGTCCGGAACCTTCTCTCAGCCGAAGTCGAGCTGCGTCGGAAATGAGGCGCTCTCCCGGTCCTTGAGCGGGAGTTGTGGTGCATCTCCAGCCAGCAGCCGCCGGGGAGCCTTTCTTTTTGGCTGCTTTGAGTCTGGTGCGGAGCTGCACACGTTGAAGTTTTGATCAATTAATACATGGTCTTCCAAGCATACCCGTATATACCCATAGTAGTAATTACCCATAGTCATCCAAATCAAGCAACCTGAGGTGGATAATGGAAGATTGGTGAGGTGCTGTGCAACAACAATATGCGTGATGCCCTGCAGCTTGTAAGTCCGCATCTGATCTTGAGACCTGACAAAACCATCAGAAGTGTGACTTTGAGAGGAATGGGGTAACAACCCTTCCAAAGATTGGGGAGCCACTGATTTTGTTGCGAACTCGTATTCAAGTATAAATGTGAAGGAGTCTTTTAAAGGCAAGGCACACCTTTTCACAACCGTATGACGAAATACACCCTGGATTTTGAGAAGCAACACCCTGTGATTCGTGACCAACACCCTGCACCCAAGCAACCTGAAGGACACCTGATCCAGTGTCAACAGGGGGTCAAGGTGTACCCCAGTGTTTTCATTTGAAATTGGATGTTTTTCCATGAGCCACATGAACCTCAGGCTTTGTAATGTGGTCACCATGCATATGCGACAACCTGACAGCTTTTTTGGTTTCACTCATGAGTCACAACGGGGTTCCGGAGACACCCACCAATACCTGGTTGCAGCCGGGCCAAGCCTCCTGGTGTTTTTTGAGACACGTTGGAGCTGTCGGCGCTCCGCCGGGTGGACATGGTGCCCACCAAACGACACCGACACAGCCTGAGCCTCACACCCGACACTCAGGTGGCAGTGAGCAGGATTTCTTCGGCTCCTCGAGGCGTTTTTTCGAGAGACTCACCAAGCGAAGAGTTGGAAGCTGCGTTGGTCGTGAAGGGGTCGAGCCAGTCACAGTGCCAGGTGTCCTTTGTGCGTTCTTCTTTTTTTTTTGGGGAGGCTCCATGAGGAACCACCCGGTTTTCTGGAGCCAACTTGAGCGACCAACAAACCACTCAACCCCTCAGGATCATGAATCATGTGTGTGATATCCCACGGGTCGGTCCAGTTTCATCAACGCTTTCTTTGGTCCGGTCGGTCCGAATCAGCACCGCACCGATCCACGCGAAGCAACGGGTACGCTCACGTACCAGGCCGTTGCTCACGTCGAGGCGGGCGCCGTGAGTGGAAGAGTGAGTTTCTTCCCGATGTACTCAATATGATCTCATTTATGATGTACTCTTGCAATGATGTTTAATTATTATCTTTTTGTTCCTTTTTAAGTCTGAAGTAATTCGTTTTCATTTGGTGACCCCTCTTCTTGGAAGAGTGCCGGCATTGGTGCATGTGATTCGTGGTTCTTTTGTAGCTCTGCAAAGTTGTTCAACTTTCCAACGACGCAAAGGTTGGACACCGCAGGACATTCAGGAACCTTTGGGAGATGAACACTGAAGGATTGTTGCTGGAAGGTCTGAGAACATTTCTACACAGATAAACTTAAATCTCATGGCAGTGGGTATTCAGGTGGTTCTGAATGGATAGACCTCGGTCTCACACCGCTCAGCAGTGAACAGGATACACCGCAGGCAGATTCATTCATGAGCTTTCGAGCCCTGAGGCTCAGCTACTCGGAGGGATTCCGAGGTTCCTAACACGGCTGTCACCAGCTACTCCGTGCACAGGACCGGCTACTCGTGCACGTTCCACATGCGAGCGCGTTGGCCAGGGGTGATGCACTGGATCTCATTTCCTCGCAGCCCCAAAGCGCATTGCCGCCCTGCGTCCTGCAGCAAATTGCGCAGAGCAAGGTGGGATTTGGCTGGAATTTCTTGGATTTTGGTCGGAATTGCAGCTTGTTAGCCAGAAGCTGCGCATGTGAGCCATACTGAGTCAAGTCAGGATTTAGGATGTGTTGCAAGCACAGATCGACAATGGGTCAGAATCCCAGAGATGATAGATATTGGTCAGCAAAAGTCACAAGTCTGCAAGAATTGCGCTTTGGCCAAGCACATTAAGACGGGCAAGGCATAACATGCAGTTCTTTTCTTAGCTACCGGCCCAAGCAGCCTAAGCTTTCAGTCGGGCCATGGAGCTGGTTACAACACGACGATAGAGCCCAGTCCTAGTCGCGTTTCTTCTATTTTTTCCGCAAAACTCTTCAGGTGGAGCCTTCGAAATTGAGGCGCGTTTGGGCTGATGGGTGGGTGGTGGCATCAATAGCCCGTGCGGGTTGAAAGACTGGTTTGACAGCGAAATTCGATGGAAACAAACGGGCATGTAGTTGACAAACTCTCCAAACAGGTCTTCTTTAGTGCCCCCTGGGTTATTGGGGAGTGGAATACTTGCAGTCAGCAGCTGGCGACCTGGAACCCAGGTCTCTTTAGAGAGTCCAAACGCCAATTCTATTGATTGTGATGATGGTGTTTCATGGTGTTTGATCTCTTTTTAGGGAGCACTAGGATTTATTCTTCATCTTCATCTTCCATACTTCCTCCAATTGGTACATCCAGACCATCCACTAATTATTCATATCTATGAAACGCTGCAGGCTCGCGATTTTGCGGTGTGAACCCGCGGGAAAAAGGCGGTGTGAACCCCCATGTTTGCCCTCAGAGGAGCCTCTCTGAGCCTCTCTGGCTTTCCAGATTTCGACTTCGAGACCTTCAGAATCACCCATCCTGTGATGGGTTTTCCTGCGTTTCATTCTTTCTCCCACAAACACAAACTCGATGTTTCCCGGAAAACAAGAACAACTACAAACACACAAACCAGATGTCGACACAGTCCATGCAGGTCCAGACTGGAAGGGGCTTTGCAGTACTTCCACTTCTTTCGGGTCCCCAGGGGCCCGTCGTGGTTCGGGTGGACACATGCAGGGTTCGGACTGATCAACACAAGGTCCGTGACGGTGTTGACATTTTTTTCAAGACAAGTGGCCTATGGATATATATATATATATATTCAATATGATTCGATCTCAAAAAAAGCCAGGGCAGCCAGGGCTTTTTCGGGGAGATGGTGTTCAGATGTGTTCAGAACGTTGATAAAGCCAGGTAGATGATTCTCATCGGATTCGTGAACTTCTATCATCACGGTCGACGAAACAATTTGTTGAACCGATGTCACTGGTGAGGGCCTTTCGGGCACCGCGAATTCCTTCGTCACTCCGCATGATGAGGACTTAAGGCCAAAAGTCTTTGCGGAGTTGATCTCCCATGCCTCCATCGAGGAGCTCCATCTCCGCGAAACGTCATGCAGTTTGTTGAACAAGTTTGGTTCAAGACCTCCTTGTGAAGGTGTGAAACAAACACACACACACACATATATGGACGCCGGCCCATCGGCGAATTGAAAGCTTAATACCATCTTCTACCCGAATCGTCCCACCAACACAACACTTGCAGATTGTGTTTTGGAGGTGTTCTTGGGAGCACATTCAAAGAGGCTATGATATCATCTATAAATCTATAGTCTATAATCATATATTATAGATTATTTATGTATATAGTCTATAATCTTATATAAGATCTGGAGGGATCGGGATCAGGATCTATTGGTATTTTCATCCCGATCCCTCCACCAAAGTTTCATTCGGCCATTGGTCGCCGACGGAGACCGGTCTGCAAGACGTGTCTCGACGTGTCTCGATGTGTCTCGACCTTCACAAGGCACGTGGTACTCATGGAGATGACCTTATTACAGCCAGGACTCCCTTGATATCTTCTGATAGACCACTATATCTATAGCTGTTACTAGCTGATTTATGCGAACTGACTCACTGACTCCCTTCACTTTCCCTCTGACCGGGCTTCCCACAGCTTTCCTCACCAACCCTTTCCGCAGTGAATTCTCTTGGCTTCGTCACTTCTTCGCCACTTCCGCAGCAGTCCACTCCGGTCACCGGAGTCGAACGACACCGCAGGACTTCCCGGTGGGTCGCGTGCTCTTCTTGCAGGGCGACCTCGCAGGCGTGACGGCGGGTCGGTGACCGGCGGGTCGCGGGTGGTGTGAGGTCGCGGAGAGATGGACTGGCGTCGTTTCATGTGGCGGGTGGAACCCCGGACGGCAGTATGGCAGTGGTTGGCAGGGGACGAACCATCCGCAACTAGCAGTCACTGGATCTGAACTCACCAAATTAGCCGTTCTAATTCGATGATTGATATGAAGCTGAAAGATGCCCAGGCGAGAACCTCTTGACACCTCATCCACACAAACCGTTGTGTTTCAGATCGCTGAGATGTCCTGATGTTTTCATCCTCCATCAGTGACCCCCGGGTTTGATCCTAACTCCTCCATTGATCGCAATGGCACAGTCCACCGATTCCAATCCACACAGTCCACCGACCTTTCAAACTCATCTCTGCTAGTGACAGGGCCATGTTCTGAAACTCTCTGATCCTTAGGACCTCAATTCTAAGAAATACAAAACAAAATGATCACGGCCACGTTCATGACGTACGTTCATGACGAATGGCCACGTTCATGACCAGATGCATCGACTTCGACTTCGACCGCATCGATTTGACTTCGCACCAATGGGACCACGCACAGTGGTATCCTTCGAGGTGCCTGTTACTTGATGCTCTCCGGCAACGTGGGCCTCTCTATGGAGTATGAGGACAGGGATGCCATGCATTTTGCGATGGCGGTTCGACTGGGAGATGTTGATTCTTCCGGGTGTAGAGGATTGGCTCGGCGAAGAGGGCAGGGCTAAGCGGTGCTTTAAACGTCGCGTGCCCCGCGGAGCCCCATGTTCGCCCGTGCAGGGCTTGTCTCTGCACTCCAATCAACGGTGGGACACCGAGCCGAGCGAGCCACCGGACACCGCTCCGGAGGGGGCCGCACGGTCGATGTGTGATGGATGTGCGCTACTCGATAGGTTCCCATGGGGCAGGGGTGAAAACCCCTTGTCCGTGTAGATTGGTCTCTCCCGCCCATGTGAAGAGTATAAGATTCGTTCATGTCAAGGATAGGGTCCAACTGCAAAGGCGAGGGCCGACGCAGAAATCCGTCGAAACCCAGGGTTTTTACCCGGGAAACCTTCAATTTTTTACTCCAAGGCGCTTTCTGATTCTGTGAAAACCCAGCATTCTGGTTCGACTCGGTAGGGTTGACTCGGTAGAAAATGATTTCTAAAGTTTCTCCTGTCAAAGCGCCAAATCCAATCCCTCCAAGTTCCTCTTCCTGACCGTTGATCTTCTTGGACCACCGTTTTGAGGGGTCTGGAACTGACCGTTCTCAGCCCTGGCCCCTCGGACCGGACAACCAGCTGGTGGTGACCAGTGCGGTGCCCCAGCTGCCCATGAGGTCTGGCTCCAAACCACGGGTGAACCGGAGGCGGGCGTGGAGCCTCCGCCCTCTGGCGGAGAGTGGATCAGTTGGAAACAGTTGGATGGGTGCCGCAGCTGCCCAGTTTGAGTTGTATGTTTCTTTTGGTACCGAGTATGAAGTATGTATCAACGGGGTGAGCATGCTGAGCACTGGTGAAGGATGCTGATAGGATCTCCTCCCCAGCAGTTTGACGGTGTTTTCTTTCGAGTTGGAGGCCACAGTGGCCACAGTTCTCACGGAAGCAGGTGTTTCATGTGTTACCGACTCAACTGGCAGTTGGGTCTCAGTCTTCAATTTTATGCACGACGTGTAGGGGGTCTTGGAAGGAGAGGCAGTGAAAGATGTGTATCCGTAGGACCCTAGCAGAAGCCATTGAGCGTGGTGCCAGGGTGTTCACCATAACTAGTCAACGAAAGTAAGGGTGTTCACCATCAACGAACGTGGTCTTGGTGGATGAAGCACTCTTAGAGCCCCATTTGAGGTCTTGCAGCTCAACAGGAAGCTGATTTGTGGCATCACCAATGACCAACTGCACCAATCCGCACATGTGCGACAGGCATTTCAGACCTGAGACCTCTCTTCAGGTCCAGGTTGGCATCCAGATTTCAGTTTCCACGCCCAACAGTCCAGCAATGAAAGACCTGATTTCATTCATCCAGCGACCCGCCTCCGTTTTGGGTTGCTGGGTCATCTCCAGTCAGTTGACCTGTTTGAAGGTGAAACAGATGGCACTTGCCTTCCAAGAGAGTTGGGGTTTAAGAGGCTGGTTTAAGTTGGGGTTTGCCAAGCCAACATAAGCCAACTCACTCAGCTTTTTGAAGCTTGGACGTTTTGACCAAACCCTTCTATCAAGGACATCTCCCACCTCTCCCGCCCCGTTGAACACACACGAAAAAGCCCCCACTTCCGAACCGCCCGGCGTTCCGTTCGGTTCGGCGTCCTGTTCGGGTTCCGTGCCGTGCCGTGCCGTTCGACGCACGGCGGAGGCGTTCGAAGAGCATGTTCATCACCGAGCCGCCCATCGGACTTCGTGAGGAGGGGGGACAGCTGTTCGACGGGGGACAGCACTCCCTTGCCACAACATGGATAGTATAGCACCCTTTATTCAGAAGTGGATTTGGATGCTCTAAACTCCAAACTCGTACATCAACAACGGTTAGCTTCTTCTCGTTAAGCACGTGTTTGAAGACTTCCCTGTCGGAAATGAAACCCATGAGTCAGTCTGCAAGCTGTGACCTCATACTGACAGACACTGTCCAAGCCATGCTCAGTAACCTTCTCCCTCTCCAAATCCGTGACCTTTCGCCACTCTTCCACGTTGCCAGATCATTTTCTAGGATGAATCGGACATCGCTTCCAAACAACCCCTTCGTATATCCCAGCTGTTTTGTTCGTTTCTTCCACCGGTCACCTCGACCAGATGACCGACCGAGAAAATGACCGACCGACACGGTCCGAAGACCCGAAGACCCGGTCTTCCCGGTCTTCAGGAGACCGTGCAACTGCAGACCGCTGAAGGCTGTACTCACTCCGTCGAGGCACCGGACGCGCGGACGCGCGGACGGGACGTGAGGAGGTCCGAGAGGATCCGCTTGCGAACGCGACACGGCGTGGGAGGTTGAAGGGTTTGGATTAGATGATAGATTCATGTCGAGCCGACCCCATTTGGATTGAAACACCTTTTCAATATGGGGGTTGATTCGGTCTCATGATCAAGAGTCTACCCAGGTCTAATTACACGGTGTCTACACGTCTGTTGTTGTTGGTTTAAACTTTACGCCGCTGAAATCCGCTGTAATGGCACTGGCGGCCTGGAAAATGTTAGGCTGCTGCGTGCCAGATGCAGTAGTTTCTCGCCAGCTTTAAGCTTGATGACATAGCAAACAATATCACTTAGGCTTATGTTCCAGAGCCTTTTCCAGCTTGGCAGCAATCAAAAGCATCAACATGCAGACACTGAGCCTGCAGAAGGTTCACGGAGAATTTGCATGCATCATGTAACCAGATCATGATTCAACCAGAGTTTCACGAAAGCTAGCGAAGCTAGCTGGAGTTACTCTTGCGATAGCAAGGTTTCTTTCGACCGGGTGCAAATCCTAACCCCTGATTTTTCAGGTCGAAACCCCC